GTGGGGTGTGTGTAAGTGTTGGTGTGTGTTGTAAGTGTAGGTGTGGGGTGTGTGTAAGTGTTAATGTGGGGTGTAAGTGTAGGTGTGGGGTGTTTGTAAGTGTAGGTGTGGGGTGTAAGTGCAGGTGTGGGGTGTAGGTGTGGGGTGTAAGTGCAGGTGTGGGGTGTGTGTCAGTGTAGGTGTGTGGGAGTGTGGGTGTGTACTCACCTAATTGTGCTTGCGGGGGTTGAGCTCTGGCTCTTTGGTCCCGCCTCTCAACCGTCAATCAACTGGTGTACAAATTCCTGAGCCTACTAGGCTCTATCATATCTACATTTGAAACTGTGCATGGAGTCAGCCTCCACCACATCACTTCCTAGTGCATTCCATTTACTAACTACTCTGACACTGAAAAAGTTCTTTCTAATGTCCCAGTGGCTCATTTAGGTATTCAGCTTCCACCTGTGTCCCCTTGTGCGTGTGCCACCCGTGTTAAATACTCCATCCTTGTCCACCCTGTCAATTCCCCTGAGAATTTTGTATGTGGTGATCATGTCTCCCCTAGCTCTTCTGTCTTCCAACGACGTGAGGTGCAGTTCACGTAATCTGTCCTCATTACTCATGCCTCTTAGTTCTGGGACTAACCTAGTGGCATACCTCTGAACTTTTTCCAGCTTCGTCTTGTGCTTGACTAGATACGGGCTCCACATTTGTGTGTGTAATTATAGGTGTGTAGTGGGAAAGTTGGGAGCCATGATTCTGTACGACAGAGTCCGGTCTCGTGTGGGATTAAATTTAACGATATACGATTGATAAACGAGAGATAGTGTATCTTCACACGTGGTCCCAGCCGAGTGCAACAGACTGCCGTGTTAAGATCCGTGATCATCAACGTCATCCGTAGTAATCCGTCAGCTTATTACTACAATAGTTGACTTAAAGGCAAACGTTTCCCAGTGAATTGTGATTTCTTCTGACTGAAATAGGTAAATTACAGTGTTTTCTAAGGGATGGTATTTCCTGTCATCGCCGCGCCACCCAACCACCCCGTGTGCTGACAGGTGTGTACCACACCGTGTGCTGACAGGTGTGTACCACCCCGTGTGCTCACAGGTGTGTACCACCCCGTGTGCTCACAGGTGTGTACCACCCGGTGTGTTCACACGTGTGTACCACCCCGTGTGCTCACAGGTGTGTACCACCCCGTGTGCTCACAGGTGTGTACCACCCCGTGTTGTTGTCACTCTCCGTCCAGCCAATTGAAGCCGCGCTCCGTGCGACCCGGTGCCTATGATTCGTTATCCGCACCTTGCCACCTGGTCACGCCCCACGTGTTCTTTGCATGCACCACATGTGGTTAACTGCTTGAGAAGTGTACCTCGCACGTGTCTGCACCTACCACCTGTGTATGTCATTGTTGCTTGAATGTACCACATGTGATTAAGCTTGAGTCGACACCTGGTTGCAACCAGATGTCATTGATACTACATGATTTACCACGTGCGGAGAAGGCTGGAGAAGCCTCTTCAAGGTCCAACTATATGTATGAGTGAGTGACTAAGGTCGGTCTTTTATGTGAGTACAATTATTTATTTATGTTTATTCAGTGCATTTTCCCTTGTGTTGATTTCACTATCAACCATTTGACTCCAGTTGTCTTGCATTGTCTGCAACGGAGGTGAGGAACCAGTCGAGGAAGCACTAGAGCCAGTTGAAGATTACAGATGTGTGTGTGACTGTATAACTCTTCACTACGTGTGCCTATGTTACACGTAACTCCACATTTATTGGCTTTATACTGATTGCGCATTTGAAAATATGTTTTAATTATACCAATACGTATTGACCTAATTTCCAGGTGATTGTGCAGTTCATTTATACCGTTGTGTTCATTTAATTAATGTCTGTGTGATATTGTTTTGTTCTGTCTCGTTCCAGAGAACCAGAGATTGAGTACGTAATTGTGAGTGTGATGTCTATGTGATACCCTGATAGTATTGTTATTATTATCCATAAGTTTACTTCATTATTGTGCCTGCTAGGGAGCCGGTCGGCCGAGCGGACAGCACGCTGGACTTGTGATCCTGTGGTCCTGGGGTTCGATCCCAGGCGCCGGCGAGAAACAATGGGCAGAGTTTCTTTCACCCTATGCCCCTGTTACCTAGCACTAAAATGGGTACCTGGGTGTTAGTCAGCTGTCACGGACTGCTTCCTGGGGGGTGGAGGCCTGGTCGAGGACCGGGCCGCGGGGACACTAAAAAGCCCCGAAATCATATCAAGATAACCTGTACTGTGTTGTATATTTATACATTTGTTGTGGAGTACAGTGAGTTATTGTGTTGTGTTTGAAGGGGAGAATTGTTATCATGTTATCCTATGTCTGCGTGATAGCGTACTTAGCGAAATTCATCTTGATTGATTGTCTGTCTGTCTGTTTGACAGGCTGTTAAAGTAATTACTCACTGTTGATTGTCTCGTCAACAGATTGTACTTCGAGTGATGAGTCACTGTTGTGTTTGATTAACTGTCTGAAGGGCAGATTATATTTAACGTAAATTGTCTTTGATTAGCTGTCGGTGTGACAGTAATTAACGCAATTAACGTAATTAAGAAATTGTTATTTAATTTGATTGCTATTTAATTTGATTGTTATTTAATTGTATTGTTGTTGAGAGTTCTGGTTTGTGCGATAGAACCCACTAACGTATTCAATTAATTGTTTGTTTGATTGCTGCCCCAGAGACGCGTATTAACGTAATTAATTTGATTTATCGTAGATTGTCTGAGTGATAAGTCTTACTTTGTTTTGATTGTTTATCGTTTTGAGTGATCAAAATATTTTATACTGCATTACTTTGGATTACAATCGAGTCCTAATGGCCACCTGATGTTCAGTTAGTTCATTGATCTCGTGATCTTTGTACCAGCCGTGAGCGGTGGAACAGATTCCTACTGTGCTGGTATTTGAGTACCTGTCATAGTGTCACTCTGGACCTTAACGTAACGTTAACTTCAAGTGCTGTATTAGTCAGAAAGTATGTTGAATTAATAATTGTTAAATGCATACAAGTCTTTACGCCATAACTTCCAAACATATTGCCCTCTATGAGGGCGCTGCTACAGGCTTTAACCCTGTCTTGTATAATTTAACTGGTGTCGGCTCTTAGGATCGAACCTAATCATAGCCCAATCACTAAATATCTAAATTTGGTGTGAGAATCCAGCGGCTACCCTTAAGAGTGCCATAAGCAGTTAAGGAGCCAACGACCTAGTGGAGCCAACGACCAGGAAATTAGACTCCGGCGGTTGTTCTCACCTAAGGCAGGCGATGAGAATGGTCCAGGACGGACCGAAACGTCGTCGTCCCTTCACCTTCTAGTTTGTGGTCTGGTCATCAGCTCTCATCTAAATTCTCTTTGAGTGTACATCTCACATTCGGCCTCCACTTGTGGAGTTAGTGTCCAGGAACTACAGCTCAACCTTAGACATATAATCTCACACTAGCCCAGCTCTAAGAATATTGCAGCCAATAATGAAATTATACTACTAAATATAACAACTAGTTTGAATCATATAACTAGTTGTTATATTTAGTAGTATAATTTCATTATTGGCTGCAATATTCTTAGAGCTGGGCTAGTGTGAGATTATATGTCTAAGGTTGAGCTGTAGTTCCTGGACACTAACTCCACAAGTGGAGGCCGAATGTGAGATGTACACTCAAAGAGAATTTAGATGAGAGCTGATGACCAGACCACAAACTAGAAGGTGAAGGGACGACGACGTTTCGGTCCGTCCTGGACCATTCTCATCGCCTGCCTTAGGTGAGAACAACCGCCGGAGTCTAATTTCCTGGTACTCCTACCACTAGGTCGTTGGCTCCTTAACTGCTTATGGCACTCTTAAGGGTAGCCGTTGGGTTCTCACACCAAATTTAGATATTTAGTGATTGGGTATGAATAGATTTATATGCATATATGATCACGTGATGATAACTATGATAGCAATTGATAAATTGCAATGATTAATAGAGATAAATTATACAGATATTTATACATATTCAGATTTAGATTGAAAATAATAACAGGTGCTTACTGGACGGTGGGGATTTACCCTGCTCTTTAACGATTAACAATTTACATGGACATATTAAGATCAGAGAAGCATGCAATTGGCTAATTCACTCTCTGAAATACACTTAATAACTTGCCCAAAATATGAGAACCGATGCCCATCTGACAAGTTGCCAACTTTATGATCTCTCTTGATGTGATATGACAGTGTATTTTGATGATATAACAGCATTGCTGCAGTGTTTGTCTTTGGATTAAGACAAGATTGTCTTAGGATTAAGATCAGCGTTTATCTTGGATTAAGATGAGGTGGTGAGCCACTCTCTACACTCGTATTTAGATAAAAGTATGAGTAATTAGTCCTGATTTAGGGTTCAACACCTTCCTCAGTATCTTAGGGAGTTGTTTTAGTGAATTATCACCGGAAATTAATATTAGTTTGTGCAGTTCAGGTCCTGTTGACAGTCTCAGACCGTCTTGTGTTCACTCTGAATGTAAACACTAGATTCTGGCCCCCGGGCCCTCATGGAAGCTTGCTCTTCGAGGCGGCAGCCACATCTTCCGTCAGGGCGGAAGTCTTCAGTGAATATTGATAAGTTATTCTTATTGTCCAGACAGATTAATGAGATAAAGTAGGATTATAAGATAAATATATATTGGATTTAATGATTATAGGTAGTACTTATAGTACATATTGATTTTTGTATTATGGATTTGAAACAACCATTACTGGAAGTTAAATTATGCTTCATTGGCATTTCAATTAAGATATCTTCTTTTCAAAGCTTCTAGATCCTTGAAGATACATGAACAAAGTCCAGTAGGTATCCATAGGCATGTTGGCGGACGTGAAGATTTTGCAATCTCTGTGGCGTAGTGGTAAGACGCTCGCCTGGCGTTCCGCGAGCGCTTTGTCCTGGGTTCGTATCCTGGCCAGGGAGGATTTACCAGGTGCAAATCCTTAATGGGAGAAAGGTCAGCTGGAGTATGATCAGTTGGTGTGACGTCCTCGTCTGGGGGATCGAACTCTAAAGATGTTGCAAAAACTTCTGTTTTAATTTCAATATTTTCTTCCTTCACTATTATATATGTTAACTGTAGTCTCTGTTTAACTCAACCGTAAAATGGGTACTTGGTTGTAAAAAGCGATTCTTCGCGGGGGTCGTATTCCAGGGAACCTAGGCTTAAGGACTTGCCCCAAACGCTACGTGTTCTAGTGGCTGTACAAAAATGAAAGAACTCTTGTATATATAAATGAAAAAAAAAACATTGTGGTGTCGTCATAGAGGATCTAGACTGTAGGATTTAGTTGATCAATAGATGTAGGATGTTGGTATGATGTATTATACAGGGTAATGAATCTAATTCTGATGTAGGATTCAAACTGTGATATAGAAATAATCCATTTCTTAGACTATAATATTGATACAGTGGGTGGAATTTTCCACGCCATTGGAACACCAACCTGTCCACTAATTAAGAACGTCACTTTTCGCTCGTATGCGTCACATAAGGCTAAAAATTGTCGTACTAGAAAATGGAAGCGGCTCGCGAAAGTAGACGTATTGTCCCATTTTCTGTTTCGGGTTTTATGGCTTAGTATGTTATTTCAGGAGAGGACATTTTAAAGTAACCGTTTTCTTCACGTATTTATACCTTAGGGTCCCTGAGCAGCCTGTCCTATCTTGTTGTGGGTATTCGTCTAGTCAGGTCGGTAGAGTTCTGGTCTTCTGGTCGTGAGTTCGAGGCTCCAATGGTCCAAGTGAATGAAATAATGGTTAGATTTTCTTGTAAATTCGCTAACACTAATGATCAGTTTACTAAATGGACAACTAATTATTCTATGATAATCATAAACATTAATATTTATGACTATCATACAATAATTAATCACTTTCATGGTTGTTTCATTTTATATAAGAATTTCAGAAACTGTCATATTCCATTACCTCATTTATAATTTATTCACGGGTTAAAATCCGTTTTCGAAAGCAAGAGATACATTGCATTTAATTTAAAGCCTCACATACTAAAAATGTCAATCAAGAACAATCAACTGTATGTTGGAGTGATTTTGATTCGAAAAAGTTCAATAATCTGTTGATGGAGAATGCCGAGGGCATCAAAAGTTTTAAGTAACTACATGAAATGATTACTTTACATTCGTCAAATCATCTCCTCATTGTCCTGCTTCTATAAAATAGTTTGGCAATATCTGCCTTACTATACTAATGGTAAACTATACTTTATACTTTTGAAACTAAACAAATGGTAAATAAAGTATATGCTTTATTTTATTTACTTTAACCCAAATGTTACTCATTTTATGCCAAAAATTTAAGGTTTGATTTAGACATGTACACTTGTTTACACCTGTTAAGTTCAGCCTTTATTGTTATCATTTGTATAAGTTGCTACCAACAAATAGTTTCTCATTCTGAATTTGACAAATGTAATGATTTTTATATCGCTAAAAAATGTAACTTCTAAATCTAAATCTTGAGTATACAGTATATAATTACAGATATTTCATGTTATGTTATTATTATGACTTTCTCTTAGGTACACTTTTACTGTAAATTTGTGTAAACTAACCTAACTGTAAATGTTCTCACACATTTATAATTAAAACATTTGAATATGAGTTTGAGTAATGAGTATATATAAGTAGTTTGGAGGATTGATCTAATTTGACTTTGCATGTTTCATTACAAAAATAATATAATGTAAAATCTGTAAAAAAATAAACAATCTTTGTAAATGTATACTACTCGATAGGTAGACCTGTGAATAGGGCATCAAATTGTTTCAGTAATTCGTTTGTCTTTAGCACTGGGTTTCCTGGGCTGATAATGCCCTTACAATGATAACTTTGACCCATGTGCCAAAGAAATTCACTGTAGAAATAAAACACGGTAACAAAAAAATAAAGCAAAAAGTCTATTTTGCTGGAATTGGCAAATTTCATATTGCCACTGACACACAACGTCAGCAAATGGCCACAGTGGATTCATTTTAATTAATACGCAAGCGACAGTCGCCCATGGTAATTCATTTCACTGCCTCGTGAAATGAAAAGTGAATAAGTTGGTTCACTCTTTAGGCACGATGTTTTTTTAAATCAGCAATTAAGTATGTCTACCTGTGTGAGTTTATGTTGGTATGCCTACCATTGTGAGTACTTTATGTCGACATGTGTGCGTGGATTTAAATATGTCTACCTGTGTGAATTAACATAATTTTGTCTGCCTGTGTGAGTACATCTACTTGTGTGAGTGCATTTAAGCATGTCTTACCTGTGTGAGTGCATGCCCACATGTGAGTTCATTTTGGGCTGAATCCTTGGGTATATTTTGTCAGGTGTACCTGTCTATACCTACCTAACTGAGCCAGTATAACCGAGCATAAGCTCTTGGGCCCCGCCTGTTCAGCTGCTGGCCGTCTAATGGTGTTGACAAGAGACAGACAAGGAGAGGTGTACCCACCTTTATGGTGTATATACACGAGTATCTGCGTTTGAAGTGAACTGTGGTTCTGGATTCAATTATATTTACCTGGTTTAATAACCTTCAAGAGGGAGATAGGTCCAAAGACCAACACCAAGCCATGTAATAAGTAATGGAAATGTCTTCTCACAAACATAATAACATAGGATAAAAACTTCACACTTGTCTATTTGTGAGATTTATGTAAAGAAATTTCAACAAATTTCTCGCGCTCTCCTTAGTGCTTTGTCAACGTCTGAGAGTGTGTGGTTAGGACAAGACTTTCATCTCAACGTCTAATGAGGCTGCTATCCTGGGACCAGTCCTGCTATCCTTCTTGACCTCCTGACTATGTCACCACTATTCTCGACTGCCGACGTACCTGCGGTAATGTTTTCTACTGAATTGTGGTCAGGAGTCTTTTCTGTAGTCCTGCTATTCTGGGAGCTGGCGTTGTTAATAGAGGAGTTCATCTGGATGTTATCCCACGTAATCCTCTCCATACCTCAAGGAATGCTGTTAATGGGACTACTTTCATTCATCCATTTATTGAGATCTAATTTTAATTCACTCAGAATCATTTTTCCAATAAAGCAATCCTCCGAAGTAAAGCTTTTGTTTCCTGCGAAAATATTCTGAGTATTTATTAAAACCCCTTCCACTACTCTTCTATTCTTATATTATTATTTTATAGAGTGTTTCACATTTCTTAACACAGTATTAATATTGTGATCTTTTCCCCAACTGTGGTTTGCTGCAGCACTGTTACCAACCACGATTCTACATTCTTATCTTCTTAAATTCTGATCTCCAGTTTACGCTCTGATTCCCCCACATAGAGTTCATTATAATCTCTACAAGATAATATACAAACTCTGCCCGGATTACTATCCTCTCCTACTGTTCTTACAAACCCTTTCTCTAATTGTATTTGGGCCACTGAAAACGATTTCATGTTTTGTATCCGCTACGTTCCAGGTCAGTTTACTGAAAAGAGGGTTATAAGACAATTTCAAAACTATTTTCTTATCTTGATTCCAAGGGCGACTCTCAGTTATGGTATAAAGGATGCCTTTAGCTTTACTGTGGGCTTTTTCAATAAACCACGAGGAATAAGCTAAATCCAAGAAACTCTCAGATAAGTATTTAAGTTCGGCTTCTTTGTAAGACGGGTCATAGATCATATAAGCTCTTAGAAAAAGACCGGTGAGTACACTTTGCTTAACTGAATTAGAATGACATAAGAATGAATATATGAGTTTTAATGTGTCATTTTCCTGTAAGTACGGAATGTAAACTGATCGTTGCTTCTCCCTACAATGCAATCCAAAAAGGGGGTTTTTATTAAAAAAAAATTCATAGCAAACCGAATGAAATTCTCTAGGCTATTAAGACCCTCTAAGTACCTATTTAGATTCTCGAAATCTTCGTCAAATATAACGAAAACATTCTCAACGTATCATAAGTATGGGACCTTTCCCTTTTATTATTACTGTGTGTGCTAATTGTGCTTCAAAGACTCCATATATAAATTTGTAGGAATAGGGGAAAGGGAAGAACCCTTAGACACCCCGAACTTTTGCTTATAAACCAAACCATCAAAACTAAAATAAGTGTTTTCTAAACTAATATTAGTCAGATCAAAAAATAAACCGCTAAGGATCGGAGTACCAAAATTTCCTGCTTCCTCTTGTGTTCTAAGAAAATCTAATACTTTGTCAAAACACATTGATAACAAATGAGGTAACATCAAAACTAACCATTCTTATTTTTTCTGTGGGGTATTTGCTCCTTACTTTCTCAATAAATGGTTAGTAAACCATTTATTGAAATTAATGTAAATTCTTTACATAAATTTCACAAATACACAATTGTGGGGTTTTATCCTAAATCATGTAATATTCACAAACCCTTATCATTTCTATCTGATGGATAAAGTTATATGTAAAAAGGTGTTTTTCTCATGCCTCTTGATTCAGTAACACACATGATATCTGATGATAATGATATTACGTTGAGCAATGAGTATCTATGCCTAATTAGCCTGGCCATGTGGATTCTAGTTGTTACAATCGTTTCACCTTTCTACCTACATTTTCCGGCATTCTAATATCCATTTCCATATGTGTAGCATATTTCTGGACATTATGTCAGGCTCCATATTCTGTGGGTTCTATGTGCTCTGAATATAGATTCAGATTCACGTCCTTGTCCAGATTCCTTAGGACGTGTTTCCAGAATTAACTACCTGTCGTTTTCTCAATAAATCACTGAATTATATATTTAACAGATCTCTAATCCTGTTCATGGAGGACTGAAGAAAATGTATATATGCTGGTTAGCATTGTAAATGTGTGACCACATCTGTAGTTGAAAATAATAATAAAAAAACCCTAATAAGTTGCATTTCTAAATATATCGACCGACTCGTTAACAATACTAATTTATTGTAGAAATTAGAATTCAGTTATGTTAACGTTTCCTATTTCCTAGAAAACGTTTCATTGGTGCCGTAACCTTTCCTAGTCTTCGGTTGGTTAAGTGGGTTGTTTACGTTCGAACGTTTCTTGGTAAGCAAAACATTTCTTACGAAGAGTAAGGTCGACGGAATGACTTGTGGTTTTGCGTCCATCTCTAGATCTTGATCTAGTACTGTCAAAGAACATGTAAACGCGATACCAAAGATATCCTAACCAACAACTCTGATATCATCGAAAGATGCAGCAATGGAAGAGCAGACTTTGGCGAAGCACTACATATCAAATAATATTCACCAACCAGTAACAGCCAACTCACACACAAGTACTTTCTGCTACCCTCAAGACCAATACAGAATATCCAACACATACACTGCCCCACCCAACATAAGAACATAAAAGAAGGCATATTAGATTGTTGACCAGACCACACACTAGAAATTGAAGGGACGACGACGTTTCGGTCCGTCCTGGACCATTCTCAAGTCGATTGTGAAACGTCGTCGTCCCTTCAATTTCTAGTGTGTGGTCTGGTCAACATACTTCAGCAACGTTATTGTGACTCATCGCCTGCATAAGGCATATTAGAATTCCATAATGCCTATTGGTCCATGCGTCTTCCTTCACCTCACTCTCGTTGGCTCTAATTGTAGGATATTCTGCTGTTTTGAATCCACTTCAGTTCTGCCTTTGAAAATGATGACAGAATCAACAAAATGCATCTCCTAGGCCATAATAAAACTATAAGATGAACTTTTGAAGAATTATTGTTCAATATCCATTTTAAGTAAAGTAGTATGTAGGGAAAATAGAGATGATTTGAGCTAGAATCATTGATCTCTAACACTTTGTTATATTCAGTACCAGTCCTATAAGAGAGACAAGTTCCAGTACATATATATATATATATATATACATATATATATATATATATATATATATATATATATATATATATATATATATATATATATATATATATATATATATATATATATATATATGTCGTACCTAGTAGCCAGAACGCACTTCTCAGCCAACTATGCAACGCCCGATTTGCCTAATAAGCCAAGTTTTCATGAATTAATATATTTTCTCTAATTTTTTTCTTATGAAATAATAAAGCTACCCATTTCATTATGTATGAGGTTAATTATTGTTTATTGGATTTAAAATTAACGTAGATATACGACCGAACCTAACCAACCCTACCTAACCTAACCTAACCTAACCTATCTTTATAGGTTAGGTTAGGTTAGGTAGCCGAAAAAGTTAGGTTAGGTTAGGTTAGGTAGGTTAGGTAGTCGAAAAACAATTAATTGCTGAAAACTTGGCTTATTAGGCAAATTGGGCCTTGCATAGTAGGCTGAGAAGTGCGTTCTGGCTACTAGGTACGACATATATATATATATATATATATATATATATATATATATATATATATATATATATATATATATATATATATATATATATATATATATATTAGTATATTTTGGTAGCAGTCTTTCCTGTAGACATATATTATTAAATATGACCGAAAAAGTAAGTTTAATAATTCTAACACGAATTTTCTCGATCTTTCTTACATTTCTTTTCACTGTTGATGGTAATTCAAAAATCAATTCTCCAAAATTCATTTTTATTTCTAGACTGACGCGACACTTGAGCGCCTTTCGTAAAACTTATTATATTTTCAAAGACTTTAGTTTACACACACACACACACAACTTTAACTGAATAGAGCTTAAACATCTTCGAGTTTTTTATATTTACATTAGGGTGAGGTGACATATTTACAATAGTTTTGGATGAGGTGAAAATAAACTTTTAACACAAGACAGAACACGAAACAATGGATATTAAAGGTAGGTAACTGCAGAAGGCCTATTTTTATTGGCCCATATTTCTTGATGCTTCTATATTGGAGCGGAGTCTTGAAGTGGGTAGAATATAGTTGTGCATTAATTTGCTGTTGATTGCTGGTGTTGACTTCTTGATGTGTAGTGCCTCGCAGACGTCAAGCCGCCTGCTATCGCTGTATCTATCGATGATTTCTGTGTTGTTTGCTAAGATTTCTCTGGTGATGGTTTGGTTGTGGGAAGAGACTATATGTTCCTTAATGGAGCCCTGTTGCTTATGCATCGTTAAACGCCTGGAAAGAGATGTTGTTGTCTTGCCTATATACTGAGTTTTTTGAGGCTTACAGTCCCTAAGAGGGCATTTGAAGGCATAGACGACGTTGGTCTCTTTTAAAGCGTTCTGCTTTGTGTCTGGAGAGTTTCTCATGAGTAGGCTGGCCGTTTTTTTGGTAGTATAGTAAATTGTCAGTTGTATCTTCTGATTTTTGTCTGTAGGGATAACGTTTCTACTAACCATATCTTTGAGGACCCTTTCCTCCGTTTTATGGGCTGTGGAAAAGAAGTTCCTGTAAAATAGTCTAATAGGGGGTATAGGTGTTGTGTTAGTTGTCTCTTCAGAGGTTACATGGCGTTTCACCTTCCTTCTTATGATATCTTCAACGAAACCATTGGAGAAGCCGTTGTTGACTAGGACCTGCCTTACCCTACAGAGTTCTTCATCGAGTTGCTTCCATCCTGAGCTGTGGCTGAGAGCACGGTTGACATAAGCGTTAACAACACTCCTCTTGTACCTGTCTGGGCAGTCATTGTTGGTATTTAGGCACATTCCTATGATTGTCTCCTTAGTGTAGACTGCAGTGTGAAAACCCTCGGCTCCTTTCCATGACTGTTACATCTAGAAAGGGCAGCTTCTCATCCTTCTCCATCTCGTAAGTGAAACGCAACACAGAATTCTGCTCAAATGCCTCCTTCAGCTCCTACAGATGTCTTATATCAGGTACCTGTGTAAAAATATCGTCAACATACCTGCAGTATATGGCCGGTTTCAAGTTCATGTCGACTAAGACCTTTTGCTCGATGGTACCCATGTAGAAGTTTGCAAACAGGACACCTAGGGGAGAACCCATGGCGACCCCATCTACTTGCTTATACATGTGCCCATCC